GCGGGGCGCCCTCCTGACGGTGCGCGACAGGGCACCCACGCCGAACCGCATGACCGAGGTGTTGACGGAGGCCACGAGGCGCCCCAGGACCTCCCGGCCGCGACCCCGGGCCGCAGGGGCGGAGGCGAGCGCAGGGCGGCGGCGGCGGCGGCCCAGGACGGCAGGGCCAGCGAGACACCTCCCCCATCTCCCTCCCCCCGTCGGTTCACGCCCCCTCCCCTCCCCTCCCCCGCCAGGTCCTCCCAGCCCCCTCCCCCGCCCCTCCTCCACGATCCCATCCCTCCTCCGCCCACTGAACCTTTGACAGACGGCTATGTGGGGCGAGAGCTACCAGCGCAGTTCTAGCAGCAAAACCCCCTTCGACCCATCCCCACACCATCCCCTCCTTTGCCCCGTTCGCACAGCTCCCCTACCCATCGCCCCCCACCCTCCCTCCCGCACCCCTCTGCTCTTCACGTCAGGATGGCCACCTTCGACGGCCACATGGGGCTATGGAAGTGCGGCCATGCTGTCGGCATCCTTGCCCTTTAAATTTGGGATACGACGGGGGGTCTGGCCTAGAGGACAGTTGATATCCGTGCGCCCCTGGGCGGGGAAAATTCTGCAGAAGGCCAATTTGCGAAACCAGCACAGCCAACACTATAGAACAATTGTCAAGAGACCGAAGTTTCGCACGAACCAAGCGGGAGGGGGCCTACCCAGAGGTCTGAACCCCTTTCTTTCTGGGGACCGTCTTTGCACCCTGAGCCGTTTCTTGCTACTCCTGGGACCTGGGCAGGAACTGGGGGGAAGGCAGGAGGCGGGAAGGGAGGAGGGAGTAGAGGAGAAGGGAGCGGGAGGGACGGGCGGGCGGAGGGAGGAGAGAGGCAGCAGCAGGGGAGGAGAGGGAGGGGCGCGGGGCGGGGGCGGCGGGAAGGGGGAGGGGAGGAATTTTGGAATTGCGTCCTGATTCGCCGAGGGGGCGGCTTGGTGAGGCACTCGCTAGCTGCTGGCAGAAACAGGCGGTATCTAGCAACAGGGGCGCCAAGGTGTAATTGCTCATCCCAACCTAGCCCAAGCCACCCCCAGATCGTCGGAAGGCGCTCAAGGCGCATCACAACGCAGCAGGAGGAGGGAACAAGGCGAGAGGAGGCTGATCAAGGAGGAGGGGAGCAGGTGAGATGGCCTGCGAAGGGCCGAAAGGCAGCTGAGCGGGCGGGTGCGAGGCAAGGGCCAGCGGGAGTGCACGCTTTTCGCACGGAGGGGAGGAGAGGAAGGGAGGAGGGGCTGGGGGCCAGGCGCGGGGAGGAGCAGAGGGGGCTGGAGGGAGGAAGGGCGAGAGCGCGTCGTTCCACCGGCGGCGGGGCGCGACAGCCTCGAAGGCGTCGCTCATCTCCTCGCGCAGCAGGCTGACGTTGGGGTCCATCCTCCGCGGGGGGCACGGGCGGCCCCTCTGCGCCGGGGGGGAGGCCGCGGCAAGGCTCTGGTTGGTGTCTGCGGCGGGGTCTCGTGCTGGAGGCGGCTGGGGGTCTGAGATGGCCCAGCACTGGTTCCCGCCAGAAGGAAGGGCGTGCAGGTTCGAGGTTCTGGGTTCGAGAACGTTGTTGTTGCCCTTTCTCAGCCTCTGGGATCTTTCTCGGGCCCCGAGACCGTCAAAAAACGGCCCAGGATGAGAGACTGCACCAGATGGACCCTGGGAGGGGCCTAGGGATCGATTTTGAGCGGATCTGCCCCTATCCCCTCCCCCCTGTTAACAGATTTTCTTGAGGTCCATCCAGTTCAGACCCCCATACCGCCTGCAAGGTTCGTGTCGTGACGACCTCGGCGTTGGTTTCTTGACACCGCGTGGATCGTTGAACCTTGAACGATCGGCGGTTTTTCGATCGCCAGATCTGGGCCACTGGCGGCGTGTCGCTGCCGCATCGACACGACACGAACCCACCGTACGCGCGTCGGCCAAGCCATCACGGCGCCCACCATCGAGTCCACGGCCGAATCTCTGAATTGCACATCGGGCTGCTACTGATACGGCGACTGCTACCGCCACCACCTGGCAGAATTACCACAGCTCATTCTACAACAACGATTCGACCGGCTACTACTACTACTACTACTACTACTACTACTACTACTACTACTACTACTACTACTACTACTACTAATAATACTACTACTACTACTACTACTACTAATTACTGCTGCTGCTACTACTACTACTACCACCACTATTACCACCACTACTACGACGACTACTACTACTACTACTACTACTACTACGACTACTACTACTACTACTACTACTACTACTACTACTACTACTACTACTACTACTACTACTACTACCTACTACTACCTACGACTACTACTACTACTACTACTAC